GCCGCCGGCCGCTCCCCCCCGCGACCGCCCTCCCCCACGCCTCGGATCGCAGGCGGGTAAGCTGACCCTTCCCCCCTTCTCCCCTCTCCCCAGTCCCTGCTCTCCTGCTGCTGCCCGCCGCGCCATGCTATGCCCCAGCTGGGCTCCCCTTCCGCGCGGGGCTCGTAGGATTGGCTCGATTCCGTTTCGTGCTGTCTGCTGCTAGTGGACGATGATCTAGTCAATTGCGGGTGCCCGTAACCTGTTCGTCCTACTGCCTGCGTTGCCCTGCCCCCAATTGCAATTACAGGCTAAGCTAGGTTGTTGATGGCGTATACGTACTAGGTAGGTCATGTCTCCGAGCATCAGCTTCCCGGTGTGGTGCGTGTTGCTGTTAACCTCTGGCCCTGTGTTCATTTCATACTTACTAGTTCTGACTACTCGCCATGTTCTGGAGTTAGAATGGGGCTGCGGTTCTCATTTCTGATACCTGGACTGCATGATTGAATTGGTACGGAACTGCGGGTAGCAGATCGATGCATGCACACATGTCAATTGCGATTGCTTGTAACCTGTTCGTCCTACTCCCTTGCGTTGCCCTGTCTGTCCCCATTTACATTTGCAGGCTGAGCTAAGTCTTCTGTGGATGGCGTATAGGTACTAGGTAGGTCATGTACCGAGCTTCTCTGTGTGCTGGTGTTAGTTAACCTCTGTCCTGTGTTTATTTTATACTAGTTCTGACTTCTGACCATGTTCTTCTAAGTTTGAATGAGGGAGGCTGCAATTCTGACTTCTGATGCCCGCTTGTCTGATTGTACTAGTAGGACATTTTGTGGGTGCCTGATGCCCTGATTGACGCACACATGCCGCGCTAGGTAATGACGAGCTTGCCTGAGAGGGGTGCAGCACCACCATCCAATCCTACGCCATCATCGTCGTGCGTGGGAGACGCCGCCGTAGCCTCTTCTTCTTCGTCTACTTCTTCCGCCCCAGAGGAGCAGAGGAAGGACGGCGGCCCGAAGCAGTGCAAGGCGTCCATCCTCTCGAGCGTTCTCACCATCTTCGAGCCGGACCAGGATCAGTCAGGCAGGTCAGGGGGGCACGCCTCCGGGTCCTATGCTTGGTCGAGGGTTCTGAGGCGGTTTGTGGGTGGCGGCTCCATGTGGCGTTTCCTGGGATGCGGCAAGGCTCTGACCGCCGCCGACGTCCAGTTCCTTGGAAAATGCTACAAGCTGTCGTCCGAGGAGTCGTCGAGTGACTCGGATTCTGAGGGCGGGCATGCTGCGTTCTTGGAAGACTTCTCGTCAAGGATATGGATCACCTACAGGAAAGGTTAGTTTGGCCTGTTCTTGTTTGCAGAACAATGTGTATACTAAAACTATCAATGTGGCAGAGTTGGCCGCGAGCTGTTGACATGATCATTTTTTTGGTCACAGGTTTTGATGCCATATCTGATTCCAAGCTCACAAGTGATGTCAACTGGGGTTGCATGGTTAGAAGCAGTCAGATGCTGGTTGCACAGGTGAGTCTGCGCTTGATTTGTTTGTTTTGAAACCCTTCCTTAACTGACCACTGCTGCTGTAGCGCTGTTACTAAATTGGGCTTTGGACACATTTCTTTTTTTTGCAGGCACTGATTTTTCATCATCTTGGAAGGTCTTGGAGAAAGCCAGCACAGAATGTAAGATACAGGACTTCCCTACTCTGATCTCATAGAGTTGCTCACTATGCGAAAGGCAGAATTGAAGTGTTTCTATTCAGTTACAGTAGGTGATGGTGGTCTTTTAATTCTTAATGTAGGGTTTCTTATAGTGGTCAATGTTCATATGCAGCCATCTAACCCAGAATATATAAGGATCTTACACCTGTTCGGTGATTCTGAAGCCTGTGCTTTCTCCATTCACAATTTACTTCAAGCTGGAAAGAGTTACGGTCTGGCTGCTGGATCATGGGTGGGTCCATATGCTATGTGTCGGGCATGGCAAACCCTTATCCGCACAAACAGAGAGCAACCTGAAGTTATAAATAGGAATGAAAGTTTTCCTATGGCGCTCTATGTGGTCTCGGGTGATGAAGATGGTGAAAGAGGTGGAGCTCCAGTTGTTTGCATTGATGTTGCTGCTCAGCTTTGCTATGATTTCAACAAGGATCAATCAGCATGGTCACCTATTCTTTTGTTGGTTCCTCTGGTTCTTGGTCTTGACAAAATTAATCCAAGGTAATCAGCGAGTCACTAGTTTTTTTGTGCTTTGGCGGTTCCTGTATCTATTTTTGGCAATCTGATGATAGTCATCCTGAGTAAAACTATTTTTTTTTTTTGCGGGGAATCTTGAGTAAAACTAGGAATATAAATGGAGAAGTGCCTTGCTGACCTATCAGTTACGTGATTATATTTCTGTTATTTAAAATACATACACCACACACTTCTTATAATCTGATTTGGTGGCTAGTTTTCCTGATGCTGGTCTTAATCATATAGATGCATATTGATCTTTCAACCCTTCACAGCTATCAACTAGACTAGGACACTAGGTTATGCATGGGGGTCGCCTCTGAATATTAAATGTTTTTGTTGATGGCTTGGTAGGAAATTGTTCTTATTTTTAACCTTTTCCTGCCATGGTGTCACATACTATCTGATAGCCATCCTCAGTAAAACTAGGAATACAAATGGTGAAGTGCCTTGATGACCTACCAATTACTTGACTACATTTCTGTTATTTTTAAAATACTCCTTATACTCTGTTTTGGTGGCTAGTTCATCCTCAGTAAAATTACGAATACAAATGGTGAAGTGCCTTGCTGACCTACCAATTACTTGACTACATTTCTGTTACTTCTAAAATGTCCCTTATACTCTGTTTTGGTGGCTAGTTTTCCTGATCTTCATCAGATAGAGGCAAATTAATCTTTTGACCTGTGAAAGCTATCAATTAGACTAGGTTATGAGTAGGGGTGCCCCTGTGAATACTAAATGTTTTTATTGGTGGCTTTGGTACGAAATTATTCTAATTTTAACCTTTTCCTGCCATGGGACATACTATCAGGTACATCCCACTACTAAAGGAGACATTCACATTTCCTCAAAGCTTGGGCATTTTAGGTGGAAAACCTGGAGCATCAACTTACATTGCTGGGGTGCAGGATGACAGGGCACTCTACCTAGATCCCCATGAGGTTCAGCTGGTAAAAACTACAGGCTTTTCAGTTATTTAGCACATACAGACATCATTTTCACAAATGTTGCAGGCTTGTAGTTTTTGTACCTTTGGTGAATATCGCAATCTGATCTATAAGCTGTATGGAATGCAAACATGATATCTATTCGTTGTATCTATAATTAGAGTTTAATTTAACACCACTGAACTAATCAGTTCCTTTGAACGAAGCTCTCAGCTCCATCCTCCCATTCAATGAGTTAGTAGTAGTGTCTATTATGCATGCTGTCATCACTACTAGCAACCAACTATCGCATTTTGGGATCCTGTTATTTGCATGCCCTGCTGAGAAAGGCATTTGTTGCTTTTATTGGCTTGGCTAGTCCACTCTGTAGTTCAGAATCGCGTGTGTTACATGTCAACATGTGTCACAACTCACAAGAATTCTGGAGTCGCAAACAATTATTTTTCTCAGTGCATGAAAAGCTGACTTCCTCTCGGGGAAAACGATAGAACAGGTATTCAGGGAAAGAAAAGAGCACGATAGGCTGTCCGAGGGTTCATTTCACTATGCTGCACACATGTAGAATGCTTATTTTTTTTAAATCTTAAGCATATATTTATTTTGTTCCACTCTGTTGATTTTAGCCCGATCTATAGTTCTTGTGGGTATCTATTTCTGCCGTCTCTTGTTCGGTTGGAATGCAATTTTCTATCAACAATCATATCAAGTTGTTATGCATTAGCATCTGTGCTTTGGGGCATTTGACTTTTTGAGCTATGGTGCTAATACTGGGCTCCTCTTTAATGCCAGGCAGTTAACATAGCATCTGATAACTTGGAGGCGGACACTTCCTCATACCACTGCAGGTATGTGTACCATTCTAGTTACAGACGATTAAGACGGTTCCACTGTTCAGTTTCCCTTCCATTCTCAAATGGCCAAACCCTAATTCGTGTATCAACTCTTGGACAGCACCGTCCGAGATATGCCTCTAGACCTGATAGATCCATCCCTGGCTATTGGTTTTTACTGCCGTGACAAAGGTGAACTTCCGTCCCTCAGATTCAGGAGTCGGGTCATTCAAATTTTAGCCTCGTAACCTTTTTATTTCTTTCCAACTTCTTGTATGCAGATGACTTTGATGATTTCTGTTCTCGGGCCTCAGAGTTGGCAGAGCAGGCGAACGGAGCACCGCTCTTCACTGTCGTGCAGTCAGTTCAGCCGTCGAAACAGATGTACAACCAGGATGACGGGTCCGGCTGTTCAGGCTACGGCGTCTCCGGCAACATCGACGCGGAGGACCTCGATGGCTCTGGCGAAACAGGAGAAGACGAGTGGCAGATTCTCTGAATGAAAGGGAAGTTTAACTTCAGTGTTGGGTTAAACCTTCACATGACCGCTCATTGGGTTAATGTCCCCCTGTGTGAAGTAAAGACTTCAAAAACCTCGTGTGAAATCCAGGGTTTCCAGTTCTACGGAACAAGCTGGTATGCTGCTTGTTGCGCATAGCTGGGAGGCCGGAAAAGGTAGGAGCCGTTACGCTGATCATCGGATCGGCACAAGTTGGTTCGATGGGAAATTCCCCTGTACCATACCATACGTGCTGTTGTGGGTGACTGCAAAATGTACCTATTGATTGGTTTACGCTAGGCAAATTGGCAGATTGGTTATAAATGTTTCCTTTGTTGCCATGTTTGTGATTCGGTTTCGGCGTCAGGGTCTTTGTTTCGGAACTGTTTTTGTGAAGGGATACAGCAAGGTGGTTCAAAAGGGGGCACACTGTGAATGCACAAAGCCAGAGTTGTTCAGTCCCATGCAAAATGTGCAATAGAACACTCGACAGGAAATCATTTTACATTTTACATGTAAGAGTTCTATCTAAACACTCTTACAGAGGGAGTACAAAATAAGGTCCGTTTCTAGTGAAAATGTAACAAACTAATTTTCATTTTCCCTTGCAAAGAAGAAAGAAAGAAAGAATAATCATACCCCTTGCAAAGAAGAAAGAAAGAAAGAATAATCATATCCACAAGAAAGTATAAAGTGCAAATCACTGGCACTCTTTCTTTAGAATTATCGCTGGTACATGTTTTTGTGTGAGAGAGAAGGGCCAGGCGCAATCAGGATTAATTTTGTCACGAGGCCCCCGCTTAACCTAGAGGTCCAATACCCAGGGAAGTAATAGTAGAACTAAGCCCAGTTAGGCTGGAGGCACATTTCAGCCAGCTTTGCCTAAAAAAGAACATTTCAGCCAGCTCGATCGACCCCGAGAGGAAAACCTAGCCGCCGGGACGGCACGGCAGCGGCGCCGCGGCAAGGCGGAGGAGGTCCCTCTCCGGCGGCGTTTCTTCATCAATGAAATATATACACTCATATCTTGAGCCTTCCGCGCTCCCTACAACTCCCCAGGGCGCCTCTGCTTCTCTGGGTCCTCTGGAAGCAGCCGGAATGCGGAGGTGTTCGAGAGTCAGCCGCCCGTCCATTCCGCCCCGAGGAAGATGTGCTCCAACGACGCCATCCTCTGTCAGCGCCGCCTTCCCCTTCTTCATCGCGCCGACGCGGATGCATGGCTGCACTGTCTTCTCCTTCAGCTCCCTCTACAACTCTGTAACACACTCTCTCTGTCCCCTGTTTGTATTGATGAACATGAACATCTGGCTTTAGGCCAATTTTTAATGAAAATTCTGGCGGGGAACCTCTCATATTGTATTTATTTGGTACAGTAGATATCGATCTTTCTCTATAAATTTGATAAAATTTAAGCAAGTTTGACTCTGGCAACGATGGATACTCTCTTTTGTTTGCAATCATGCTTTAGTACAATATTACAACAATCTCGTTTCCATGTCACCCTGCTTTTGCTTATTTTTCTGATGTAATTCAATTTGTGTTGTTCAATTTAAATATTCAGACTGTACATAGCTGTGTAAGCACTGTAACGGAGGCATGTTAATGAACAGAAATTGTGAACTACACAAGCAGTTGATTAAGAATGAGCCTTCTTATATTGAAAGCAATTGACTGGCTATCTACTGCCTCTGATGGATCGGTTGGCTTCTTCAACTGGCTGCCTCCGATGTATCACCAGTCTGGCTGCGCAAAGGCCTGAACTCCCTAGCCTTGTCTGGTCCTTATGGAAGCATCGCAACGCTGGCATCTTCGATGGGCTGCAACCTTCGGCGACAATCCTAGTCGCTGCTATCAAGGATGGGGTGCGCCTTTTTGCCTCTGCCGACGTGAAAGGTCTGAGTGAAATATTACGAGCAAGTTAATCTTGTACCAGGGCTGAGCAACCCTTCTTTCTCCTGCTCGCTAGCACTCCCAGTTACGCCTACCGGTGTACCTAGATTGGGAGTTGCACTCTTGTATTTCTACTCTCTATGGCATATTCGTGAAAAAAAAGGGAAAACAATTGACTGTAGTTGTATGCTCCAGAACATACTCCCTCGGTTCCTAAATATAAGTCATTTTAGAGATTACACTATAGACTACATACGGAGCAAAATAAGTGAATCTATACTCTAAAATGTGTCTATATACATCCGAATGTAGTCTCTATAGTGCAATATCTAAAAGGACTTATATTTAGGAATGGAGGGAGTATATATTTTGAAGCTCTCGGGTCATTTGTTATCAACTTATCATAGGATCTTCTCCAATTTAGTTGAAAGTATCCTCTTCCCACCTTCTTCATTTCAACAATGGATGGGGTGGCAGCCTACCATATACTGTATTTTCAAAAGACTTTCAAAGACTCAGGACTTCATCGATGGTTTAATTCAACTACAAGCACTCACCTGTTTTTTGTTTCACACATGACCGTTTGCTTCTACTCCCTCCGTTCCTAAATATTTGTCTTTCTAGATATTTCAACAAGTGAGTACATACGGAACAAAATGAGTGAATCTACACTCTAAAATGTGTCTACATACATCCGTATGTGGTAGTTCATTTGAAATGTCTAGAAAGACAAATATTTAGAAACGGAGGGAGTAGTGTGAAACAGAGGTATGTGTTGGTCACCTGCTGGGTGGTGGAGCGGCATCAAAAGATGTAGCCTTTTGTAAACAACGATGTCCCAAAGCGTATTAAAGCCCCCTTTAAATATTAAACGTACAGTGCATTGCTACATGTAATTAAATTGATGAATAGTCCTGTAAAGAAAAATGTCAGAATCTCTACTTTTTGAATGGTGAAAAAGAATGATTCACATCCATATAAGATGGAACTCTGGATGGATCCTAGTAGAACTGATTTGGTGTTTCTTGGTACCCAGGGGCGGCGCCAGGGGTCTTCTTGGGTATTCGGTTGAATACCCAAGATTTTGACAAACCATTGAAATTTTATGTAAAACAGGTGATTTTTTTTTCAAAACAGTGATGATTTGGGCAAAATGAATACCCTCCTCTAAAATGAATACCCACCCTCTAGAACCTGGCGCCGCCACTGTTGGTACCTCAATGGTATTGTCTCCCTCTTGTATGTAGCACACGGTACAATCTGTTACAGTCCTTTACTTTTGCCGTGCTTAAAGAAAAAAGATAGGTATTGCTCTGTTGTTTGCTTTGAGGTTTCCCCTAGTTGGGGAGACCAAGAAGAAAACCAGTAGGAAGGCGATCCGAGCTCTAGTGTTAAAAGAGATAGTTGCCCGCCTCTTGATGGAGAATTGAAAACATCACAACGTATCTTTAACTAATTAAGTAGTAGTGAGGCGTTGGTACGTCAGCTGGAGAAGAATACTTGCTTCTCGTATCACTGGTGTAGTGATTAAGTCATTTTTTAGAAGTTTGATCATATTTATATAAAAAAAGGTCAATACCTACAATTCCAAATCATTATCACCAAATCAATCAATATTGATATTTGGTTTGGTATAGTAGATATTGATATTTGATTATTTTTTATTGCATGATTCAGACTTTACAAAAGTTAAATAACTTGTTTTTTGCGAAAGAGGGCAAGATAAGTACAACATCAACTTGCTATGCACGTGATAACATTCCACACTGCTTATCTTTAACCCTTTCGGTTATTGTAATTTGAAGTCACATGCTGGGGGTGTGCTGGGGAGACGATATCTGAAGCAGTAACCCTTTAAAATTAGTTTGATTAGCTGTACTTATAAGCGGCAACAACTCGGAGGGAAGAAATAAGACATATATGCCTCCTTCAAACGCCCCAGCAGGAAACACCACACCCTAGACCAGGCTTACACGAGCTCTGAAGCAAAGGAAGATCCATGAGAAAAGAGTGAGCTAGGGAGTCATCAGTTTGTCAGCATGGATGGTCACCAAGTTGCGATGAACAGGACGAAGGAGCTGGAGGCCTTGTCCCCCTACCTGGAGAATCCCCGGCAGATAGTCATCCGGAATGAAGCTTTTGTGGCCATGGCAGCTGCGATGTTGTTCCTGCAACTCGTGCTCGGTCCTTGGCGCCGGCGGTCCGGCCATTGGCTCGTCCAAGGTACTCTCTGGGTAGCTTACACGCTCAGTTTCCCTCTGATCACATACACCCTTGGTCAGATGGTGACCTCGCCCGTGAAGAACATGTTATATCCTATTTGGGCTCTGATTCTCTTCTGGGCAGCCGGCTGCGCCAACGCCATCATGGCTTATAGTATCGAAGACAACAAGCAGTGGAAGCGCTACCTCTTTGAGCTCCTTCAGTATTTTGTGTATCTACTCGCTATAGCTGGGCTGATAACCTCTGGCCCGAAAGATTCTTCATACTCAACTGCCATTCCTCTTCTAATGCTAACTGGCATGGTGCTGGGGGCACTTTCGCAAAGAATAGTTGCTGCTTGGATGGTCACGAATTCTAGTCCCAGCAAAGTAGTAGCCGACTACATGAGGGCTCAGGTTCAGATTAACACAAGATCTAGAGCTACTCAAGAGGAGGCTTTCACAATGAATGGTTGCAAATACCTTGTTTGGCATCCTTTTATGGAACCAAACAACAGACGTGATGAGGATTGTGCCATCACCATCGAGGCAATCTGGGACATGGCATTCGATGATGAGAGCCTGCTCAAAAAGCAGCTGAGAGATGTATGCCTCTCCTTTTCTCTGTCTCACTTGCTGCGCCGCCGTTACTTTGGGATGGATTGTGCCGAAGCAGGACTACCTAAGACGCTCAAGTTTGCACTTGAGGGTTTGTTTCTGAAAGAGGATCAAGGCAACCATTACTCAGGAGCATTCCATGTCATAGAGGTAGAGTTGGGCTTCCTCTATGACTTCTTCTTCACAAAGCATGCATCTATCTTTTCCATCGAGGGTAATAACCTTGTGATAGTTGTTCTCAAATTGATTAGTACATCTATTGTTGGAGTACTTCTGATTGTACATCCCCCCATCGTCAACACACTTGAACCTATAATCGAGGTTGGCACGAGAAGGGTTGATGTTACTGTTACAGTTGTGATTATGGGAGCTCTCTTTCTGTTTGAAGTTCTGCAAGCTGTACTCTATCTGACGTCGGATTGGGCCTTGGTTTCAATGGCTTGCAGTTATACCAGACGAGATACAGGCAAACTCATTCCATCCATCATTCGTTTTCTTACAAGGTTTAAGTTTTACAATTTTCTCGGCAGGAGAATTAATTTGTTTGGATATTGGAGTAATAAGATCGGGCAGTCATCGGTAATTGGAGGCAACTTGCTTGTCGATTGGCTCTATTTGAGCACCACCCCCACTAATCTAGTGTTTGCAATACTATACAACCTCATTTATTTTTCGATCATTTATCCAATGATATTCTCAATGAAGAAGTTTGTGGTGGTTCCTGATTTGGTCAAGAGTGATATAGTTTCTTGTTTGCGGAAATATAGCAACGGTGGTGGTCCACTAACTAATGGAAGAGCGTCATTGGAGCGTAATGGTGTCCTTGGAGATTTCTCCTCTACACTGGAGGATGATAGCCAGATAACAGTGATGCTTATTTGGCACATTGCAACTGAGTACTGCAATATTGCTTCTCCCGATGGAGCAGAGGAGCGGCCTCACAGCGGTGCACAGAAAGTTGCCAGCACCTTATCCAAATATTGTGCCTACTTAATGTACTTCATTCCAGAATTGCTTGCCGAGAATGCCACAGACACACTATTCATCGTCCATGACTTACTGAAGAAAGTACAGAGTGCGCTGGGTGACGACAAACCGACTAGGCACAGATTGCTGAGGATCATCCAGGATTCCGAAAGCGGCAGGAGCAACCATGCTACCATAATCCGCATTCCTCCAGTCAGCAGCAACATGGATAACATCATCCACAACTCCAGCGACGGCAGCAACACCGACCATACTACCATCGCCCAGGACTCTGCCACCAACAACAATGAGGATAGCATCCTCATCAAAGGATTGAAGCTAGGGAGGGATCTGGAAGCGAAAGATGTGGGCCTCCGCTGGAAGGTGCTGGCAGAATTCTGGGCTGAGACCATCATCTACATCGCGCCATCAGACAAAGCCGCGGAGCACATGGAACGCCTTGGGCAAGGAGGGGAATTTCTTACTCATATCTGGGCTCTCCTCACGCACGCGGGCATTGTGAAGCGTGACCACATGATCCCAACACCAGACCAGACGCCATCCTCAGAAGATCGTGTGTAGTAGTGTTTGTTTCATGTACTTCCACTTGTATGTGATTTTTGCTCTGTTTCCTTCCTCTTCAGCTCAGTTGTCAGTTCACATGGTTGCTTTATGACTCTGTTTCTTGTCTGAAATCGTTATGTAAGGATATCCAATGCATTTCAACTTCAACTGCAATCGTTATAAGATGAGACTCTGTTTCTTCATGCTGTTCTTTTTTTTTTGTTACTACTAGTAAATGTGTACGTGCAACTCACGTCTCCATCATGATACAAAATTATTTGGCTCCCCTTCGCTAGCGCCCATGGGGCAGCAGTTGAGGAGTGGCGAGCCGCGGGTTGGCGGTGGCGATTTTCCAGGAGAGATACAAGCACACAACTCCCAACTAAAACAAATATAGTTGAGACGGGGGGTAATTACCTCTCTGGAATTATGGAAGCTTCTAGGTCCCGCTTCTAGGCTAAGTCCATATATGGCCAGTCGCCTCAAGATAACGCAAGACATTGTCCATATCAGTCAGAAGATGATGCTCAGTGATATTCAATGCATAAAATGTATACATTAGTGATCTGTCAGTAAAAGATACAGGCAGTTTACATACCATGCAAACGTCAGTGGACAATTAATCTTATCCGAAAAAACGTCAGTGGACAATCACCCAGCTAGCTTCTTAACTTATCATTTTTCCTCACAAACTCCACATAATCACATGTTGTGTTCACATATTGATAGTTAAACATGACTTCGTGAATCGTGATGGCCAGCCCACTTATTAGACTTAATCAGCTTAGCCATCGCATTGCTGCACTCTTCATGCCTTAAACATTTGACTGCCATTGTTTTAAACATCTTATATTCTTCTACTGTTTTGCTTCATGATTTTCGTATGAACCAGAAGGCATCTGGCGCTTAAGGAAGGATCTACTTCAGCTACCCAGGGCTCCATGTTATCCAACAATCCTTGAACTTTTATTAACTAATAAATCCTTGGAAAGTTGAAATCAGCAGTAAAGAACATAAGAATAAAGAAAAAAACTAATCAGAAAAAAGAGAGCATTCAAGTGTCAATAGTAAAATAAAATAGGTCATTGAGATTTGAGAACACCTCAACTTTGCACCATTGAGAAGAATACACAGATCTTGTCCAGGAAGCTCGTCAGCGTGCGCCATCACCTGCTCAGCAGATAAAACAAGTTAATGCAGCAAGTTTTTTTTTTGAACGGAAAAAAATATTTCACTGAAACTTGTGCACAGGTAAATCGCTTCTCACCAAAATTGAAAGAATGTAAGGGGCTTGAAATGCCCAGACACTAAGGGGAACATCAGCCCCAACACCAAACCTACTTCGCGGCAGAGGACCCCCAGTTCAGCAGCATATTAATCCCTTCCCTTAAGAGCGTGGATCATAGTCTAACAGTCAGACTAAAATATCATATAGAGGAAAGCAGCAGCAGCAGCAGCAGCAGACCATCAGCGACAAGCACACAGCGACAAGCTGGCAAGCACGCAGCATCAAGCACCAACACATCACACATTCGCAGCAAGCAAGGCGGGAGGAACGGGTGTAGTTACCTTGCCGGTGACGGGATTCCTGGCGGCGGAGGAGGAGGTGACTCGCGGTGACGATGGAGGTGACCGGTGCGGCGGGCGGGCGGGCGGCTACGGCGGCCGCTCCAGCGGCGAAGGGCGCGGCGGCCGGCTCCGGCAGCTCCGGCGGCTAACGGCGGCTAATTGCTTGGTCTCTGAGTACAGATGAGTTCAGCAATAGAAACTTACTTGCGACGGAGAAGGAGTGGCGGCGTGGCGGAGGCGGAGCGGCGGCGCGGCGGGGGCCAAGTTGCGGCTCCGGAGGCGGCGACCCGCGACGGGGCGGCTCCCGTGGCTCCGGTGGCGCGAGGCGGCAGTGAAGGGCGTGGCTTCCCGTGGCTCTGGCGGCGCGAGGCGGCGGTGAAGGGCGCGGCTTCCTGTGGCTCGGCGTGAGGCTGCCGGAGGCGAACGGCGCGGGAGGGGGAGGAGGTTGTGCGGGAGGAGGGGGAGGAGATCGTGCGGGCGGACGGTTCTAATGCGGGGCAGATTAGCGATCGATTGATTGTAGTGGCTTAATCCGTGGTTTGTAGCGTTAAACACAAAAAAATTAAGGACCATTAGATCTTGATGATGGATGGATGTGATTGTTTAGATCTGCCCCTCTCTTCCTTTTTTACTATCAGTATAAAAGGAAGAGAGGGGCAGATCCAAACAATCACATCCATTCATCATCAAAATCTAATGGCCCTTAATCATTCTGTGTTGAACGCTACCAACCACGCAACAAGCCACCATCGGTCGCTAATCGCCCCGCAGTAATCATCGTCCCGCAGTCAAAAAAAGAAAATTGCCCCCCGCACGACCTCATCATCCCGCACGACCTCCTCCTCCTCCCGCAGCTCGCCGTTCGCCTCCCGCAGTCGCGCCCTTCACCGCCGCCTCGCGCCACCGGAGCCACGGGAAGCGGCCGCGGGTCGCTCCTGCCCAGCCGTGCCCTTCACCGCCGCCGGAGCCATTGAAAGTGGCCGCGGGACGCTCCTCCCCAGCCGCGGGTCGTCGGGAGCCTCCCAGCCGCGGGAGCCCGCCCGCCCGCGGGTCGCCGGGAGCCTCCCAGCCGCCGGAGCCTCCCCGCCGCGCCTTTGCTGCCTCCCCGGCTGCAGCTTGGCCGCCGCCACTCCGCCTCCGCCACGCGGCCACTCCGCCTCCGCCACTCCGCCACGCCGCCACTCCGCCTCCGCCACGCCGCCGGAGTCGCAAGTAAGTTTCTATACTCAGAGACCAAGCAAACCAATTTCATATTCTGCCAGCATATACTCAGAGACAAATAGTTGCCATCAGGATCTGAAATTTATGAGGACATATTGAATTAGTGAGGATTTCAGAAATTTGTAGTCCAAGCAACTCATACATTTGAAGTTTTGTTGCTTACCTTCCCATCCCATTGTGTTGCTATGCTCCTGAAGTTGCCTAACTACAGAAAAAGGAGGCCAAAGTTTTGCTATATTGGGTTATCCACAATAGTATCGGCAACGATGTTTTGTTTTGTGACAACTACTCAAATATATAATCTGAATATATAATCTGCACATTGTAGTTTGAGTCATGGTCTGTGAGCAAGCATTATATTTTGACATGAAAGGTAGATCTATTTTCAAATGAATGGTAGATCATGAAGGTTTGCGCACTGTGACGCAAAGGCCGTATGCATCGACGAGGCGAAGGTGGGGCTTACCGGGATGGGTTGAGAGGAGGCAGTGGAAAGAGGAAATGGGAGAGGCGGATGGTGAATATATGAGGTGAAAAATGATGCATCTACGTAGTCCTTCTGTTGAATGCATAAAAGGATCCATGTTTTTCATTTGTCAACCTTTCATGTATTATTTCCATATTTTTGTTCTTGCAATTTCCTCATCTGGGTAATATGCTCTGAACCCATCAGTTCTGGAAATTAGAAATTTTTCACAGCTTAGTACAAAAGCATTTTTTATGACTGAATAAAGCATGGTAGTTTTAGCTTCACCAGGCGGTTTGAGGTGTCAATTTGTGTTTAGGTGTGCGGTTGTGTTAGATTTGGTCTTTTGCTTTACTATCATCAATGACTTTGTGTCACATCGGCGGAGTTCGTCATATGGTTCCCCAGATTTCTCTTTTAGTTGACCATGCCATTGTGTGGTCATGTCTGTTTAGTGTTTATTAGTCTAGCTCTAGGCTAGATGAAGATCGGCGCAGCTGGTTGTGTCCGGTGTAGTCGGAAGCGTGCTGGTATGCTTGATTGTGGCTGTGCTGCCTTTTAAGTTTCATTCCTTTTCTATTTCTGTCAACAAAAAATGTGGAGCCGCACCTTAATTGTCATGGTGATGTTGGATATACTGTTCTATTATTTGACAAGTCAGTGTGTGTATATCTAGCAAAGTGACGAATCACAGTAAACTAGAAAGCTTAGACGTAGAGTTTAAAAGAAAATTCAGAAGCACTGGAGGCTCATGCTTCTACTGTCATGTTTTAAGCTCCAGTCAGGAGTGGTGTTTCTAAAATAGAGCTTATTAATTTTCACATATATAGCATGTGCTCGTAATAGCATTCCCGTCTCATTCTTTCTTTTCTATTTTTCTCTCTATAAATTCTAGAGCTCCTGTTCAAGTTACTAATCTTTTAATATGTTTTTATAACTACGCAAAAAAGGTCCTCATAAAGAAGAGCCGCAGGTCTGACAATGATTTGTAGAGTGTCCAATGGTGGTTCTTCCATTTACCAATTTGTGATCCCGGCCTTTTCTTTCCTGATTAAAAAGAAAAACATATTCTAATTGCCTTTTCTGAACTTATCTTTGAGATAACTTGCACCCAACAGTCAAGTGCTCCAAGATTAGGCAATTAAAACTGAATTTATGACTATGCGTGTATGAAAAACTGTAAATATCTGCAGTTTGACTAATCTCTGGATCGGCTGCAGCCTGGAGATGAGATTCTCTGGCTTTGGAGATGGTTATACGTTTTATAGGTTATATTTTCCAGGAAGCGATGTTTTCTGGGTGTCGAGGATGAAAGAAGACTTGGACATGGGCGTGTTGAGATTAATGCATGTGTGTATCTTCTACGAGCTGCAGAAGGTCAGGTACCACTACCTCCATATAAGGTGCACACAAACTGTAAAATTAAAACTATTGATTATCCATCAGTGTGTTATACTAACTCCATATAAGGTCAGCCCTTTTCTCCATTTCCTGCAAGTACTTGACAAAATTCTCATTACAGAATCCACCTATTATGCATTATAGGTAGAAAATATGTTTATCCATTGGAAGCCAATCAATGAATTATATGCGTTGGCATGCACTGTTGGAGCCATGGTTCTTTGGGAATCTATTCATGTGTACTAGGCACTTCTCAAAACTTCCATAATTATTATAGAAACCTCTTGAAATTTGCAGTGCTCATCAGACCTGTCATGTGTCCAGTACAGGTCTTGCAGTAAACTATTCAGATTATTGACTA